AGTGCTTGAAGAGAGTCAAGGTAAAAGTTTTGTGTTTTCTTCGTAAATCTGCTGAAGAAAGTCACAGCATACATTGTGAGGGTACAAAACAAAACAAAGTATTGTAATAAAGGGGGCAACTCTGTGCAGGGCTACTTGGGGAAAGGTGTACATAATGGGACTGCTTTGTCAGTAAAAATGCAACTAGCAAGCTGCATCTCAGGGAAGGAGGCAAACAGAAGAGCCTGGTAGGGAAACAGAATGCAGGTAATCCCCATGGCGCAGTGGTTAAACTGCAGTACTGCAGTCAAGCTTCTGCTCACAAGCTGAGTTCGATCCTGATAGATCGACTTAGTCTTCCATGGAAAGATTCAGGTAGCTGGATCAAGGTTGACTTAGTCTTCCATGGACAATAAAACGATTATCCAGGGGAGAAGGGAGACAAAATGCTGTAAATCTACCAGAGAGTGCTTTAGCACTATGGGGCAGTATATAAATCAAAACAACAACAAATGGGGGGAAATTACTTGTAACCAGAGATAGGAGAAGTTACTTTCTTGGTCTACAGCTCCCCAGGCTGCATAGCGACTTGGCAGGCTGGTTAGGAGATTGTCTGACTTATAGCTCAAAATGTAACTATTTCCCTATTTGGAAGTTACAAGGTGCAAGCCAGTGAATGGAGCACCCCAGACTGAAATATTTTTTTGCAAGTCTCACTTATTTCTTTTCCTAATAATGGTGACAATGATGACGAGGATCGTTTTCTCATGGGTGGATTTTAAGCTGATTTACAGAGGAATAGGATTTAAACAGTCAATCTCTGGCCATTGCAAACATAAGGTCCTGAACAGTGTTTGAGAGCAAGGAGGGTATTTATCAAAATAATTTCAAGAATAAATCCTTAAAATTCTAAAATTTAATTTTTGATTATTCGTTGTTTGCATGAATTACGACACGACTCTGTATCTGCAGGGAATTGATCCCCAAGTCCCCCTGTGGATACTGAAAAATGTGGATAACGGTGAATGCTATACAGAGCATGAACTCTGGCTCTCTCTAGTGGCCACTTTGGGTAATGACACTGTAGAAATGTGAATGCTATCCACAGAAAGTTTTCTTGCTCCCTCTAGTGGACAGTTCTGGCAATTTCACCTTTAGAAACAATATATTTCTAGAATTTTTCTTTTAATATTTTGAATATTTTCAGACCATGGATAAGTGATTCAGCAGATACTGATCCCATGGATCAAGAGGTCCTACTGTAGCTCCATTTTCATATTAATTAAAATGATGAAGGAACATTTAATTAATCTAGCTAAGTGGTTTAGTTCATAGCCTGAAAGCCTGCCATAGCTATTTTCTAACAACTTAACTGGCAAAGCAACCTTTGGCCAAGTAGCTGATTGTGTTAGATCACCTTGGTGGGTTGTTTTTCAAAAAAATAACTACTTCTTTAGAAGTCTCTAAAAAATCACAATCATGTAAAGTGTATTACACAGCCCTTTGTTTGCACAACACTGGTCACTTAGCTTATTCAGTCTTTCAGTTCATTCTCCTGAAGCCAGAATTGCTCCTGCTTTGTATGCTCTGCATATTTGCCAGGGTGGATGACCCAAGTACCATTCAATTGTTTAAATCCTGTTGATTTCAATGGGATTTGCACAGACTCCTTGTATGCCTCTATAGGATAAAGACCCTACATCCAGCTGCTTCCCTTAAGTGTGAGTTATGAGTACAATCTTGTCACAATACAGAGCACCCTTTATGTCTCCAATCAACAGGAGTTACTGTAATCAAGGTCTCCTCTAATCAGATCACAGCTTGTTATTAAAGGAAGCTTTCAGTGACACAATGGGTTCAGCCATACAGTGGTGTTGTCCGGTTGTTGTGCTGCATTGTTTTGTTGCTTTTTTGTTGTTCCAGATCTGAATGCATCATCCCAGTATTTGTATCCACCCAATGAGGAGGCCATCTCTTCCTGGCAGTTGAGGGATGCCCTGAATTCTCCTAGTACCCCTTGTCCACACAAATCTAGGATTGTTCCCAGACATATCACTCTCAACAAAGATGGTCCTGCCCTTTTTTTATGTCTTTTCTGCCCATCCCTTCCATAGGACATGATGGGCTGGAAAGTGACCCATAGAAAAACACCCATAGGGAAATGTGAACAAATGACAACATCAGCAAAGTGTACAGATCAGTATGGACCAACACAGGAATAGGATCCACAAGAGCCAATCTTACAGAGGAGCAAACTGGTACAAAGGGCATAACCGGTTGCATTAAAAAACCAAAAACTCGCAAGTAAGAGTTAAAGTTTCTAGTCCCAGTTAAGAATAAACCACAGTTTGTTCTTGCATCAAAAGTCAGCCATGTTTGTTCAAACCACAGTTTATCAGTAAGGCAGAATATCCAGCTAGGATTAGATCCTGATTTAATATCTTGCTGTGCTAAAAAACTGTAGTTTAAACACATCACTATCTGTTTGTTCTGAAGCAATAGAAAAACTAGATATTCAGTTCGTTACTAAGCACATATGGAAGCATTAAGGTTCTTCCCCTGCAAAACTTAAAAGTAATTAGTTATAAGTAACTGTCGCTTCTAATTAGTAAGTTATTTGAATGAGAAAAGTAGAAAAATTACACTACAATTGTAACTTATTGGCTGAAATCCCATTGCAGTTACAAAAAAAGGGGCAAGTTGGTAAAATGAGTACCCATTTCACTGGGGGGCAAAATATTCCTTGAATAATTATGTTGTATACTACCCAGCAAGTGCTCTAGCACTATGGGGCAGTATATAAGTCAAAACAACAACAACAGAAATTTGAATTTATTGTTAAACTCCTCTCCTCTAGCTATGCAGCAGAAGTACAGTACAGGGATTCACAGAGCAAAATAGCTTAAAGTTCTCAACAGTTCTCCATCCCTTTTCTCATTAATAAATTAGATAATAAAAACCATTTTCTTTACTTACAGTTGAACAAAATGAGCAACAAACTGGCAAACATGAATACTTTCAACAACAAATCTAAACAGACTTAACACAAAACAGAGGGGGGGGAACACTGATTAGAGAGGTGGGGCTCTCTTTAAATTCAGAGGCAGGAGAGATAATTGGTTAGCGCTGAAGAGACTGACAGTCATCAGGGTGGGAATCCAAGGTTGAGAACATTTGCTCTAGCAGATACTTATAAAGAAAGCAATTGTATTCTGCAAATATTTGCATAAAACCGCTCATATCCCCACACTTCTATCCAGACACAGTGTTAACTCTCACCCACTCGCCTACGAAGAAGCCTCTTACAAGAAGTCTACACAAAAATTATTTGTTGAAATTTTAGAACAATGGTGGGCAAAGTCCAGAAGGAATTCTCCCCTTCTCTGGGAACTACTACAAGTTGCCTTATCACCCCAAAACCAAATGTGGTTGGACTTGTGCTTCACATTTTTCACACAAAATGAGACAAACCCTTCCCACACACACACACACACAAACACCACACAAACCCCTTTTCTTGGCCCCAAATGGCACCAGTTGCACGTATGACTTGTTTTAAAGCAAAATTGACATGCCTGGAGACTTTTTTCAACAACAACAACAAAACTCAACATTTCCAGAGGGATTCTGGAGGTGCAAAAAAAAAGTATAGAAGCTCATTGGCTGAAATCCAGTAGGACTCACCACTAGAGTAGGCCCACTGAATCAACAGGGAGTTGGTGAGTCAACACCTATGTCAAATCAAAGAATCATAAAGAAGGGGCCTATTAGGCCATTGAGTCCAAGCCCTCCCCCACTTCAATGCAGGAATACAAATCAAAGGATATCTGCCAGGTGGTTGTCTAAGGGTTGGAGCAATCACCACCTCCCGAAGTAGTTGGTTCCACTGTCATACTGCTCTAACAGTTAGGAAGTTTTTCCTGATATTCAACTGAAATCTGGTTTTCTGTAATTTGAGGCTACTGGTTCATGTCCTGCACTCTGGGATGATTGAGAACAGATCCTGACCCTCCTCTGAATAACAGCCTTTCAAGTATTTTTAAAGTGTGATCATATCTCCCCTCAGTCTTCTTTTCTCAATGCTATACATGCCCAGTTCTTTCAGCCTTTCCTCATAAGGCTTCGTTTCCAGCCCCCTGATCATTCTTGCCACCTTCCTCAGAACTTGTTCCAATTTGTCAGCATCCTTCTTGAAGTCTGGTGTCCAGAATTGGGCACAATACTCAAGGTGAGGCCTAACCTCTGCTGAATAGAGGGGAACCAGCACCTCACATTCGGAAACTATACTTCTATTAATGCAGCCCCAAATAGCATTAGCTTTATTTTTTTGTAGCCACATCACACTGTTGTCTCATATTTAGCTTGTGATCTACGACAATTCCAAGATCCTTCTCCTCTCTTAGTTTTGCTGAGTCAGGTCTTCATCCATCTTGTAACTGTGCAATTGGTTTCTTTTTCTGAGGTGCGGTACTTTGCACTTATCCCTGTTGAATTTCATTGGTGTTTTCACCCTATGGGAAATGCAGATTCAACATAAGAACTTTTCAACTTGAGAACCACCTTCCAATACGGATTAAGTTCTTAAGTAGAGACCCCACTGTATCCTTGTTGAATTTCATTGGTGTTTTCAGCTCAGTGCTCAAGCCTATCTAGATCACTTTGAATCTTGTTTCTGTCATCTAAAGGTATTTGCAGTTCCACCCAGTTCTCTATCTAGATCACTTTGAATCTTGTTTCTATCATCTAATTCTGTGCCATTCACAAATCTGATTAGCATTCCCTGCATTAATAAAAATGTTGAAGAGCACACAGCTAAGGACTGAGCCCTGGGATACCCCACTTGTTACCTCCTCCCAGTTTGAAAGGTTCTGTTGATTCGAATGGACCTACTCTAGTGGTGACTCTCTGCTAGATTTCAGCCATGATGTGGCCTCCAGGCTCAATGCTGCCTGCCTCTGCCTTTAGAAGAACAGTTAAACAACTGCAACATGATTGTGACATGAAAAGCCATTGCAGAGTACCTTCCATCGCTCTCTTGAAGAAAACTTTGCAGCTCCCACAAGTGAGGACTCCGTAGTGACAGCCTGATGCTTCATCCCCACAGATGAGGCATATCTTCTGCGGCAAGGATTCAAAACTGTACTGGGGGCTCTGGCCAGCTTCTGTATCAGACCTAAACCAAGGGGAAAAAAGAGCGTTAAAGAATATTGTAAGAATGGAAGAAATACCTAATTTACCTGTGAAACCATGCTTCCTTTCACTTGGCTGCAAATGAAGTCAAATAACACATGTCTACATTGTTGAGATATTAGCAGGCCTGTCTCTTTAAATGCAAAACTTCTCTACCGGTCACATATAAAATCAGTGAGGTCCACTTATAAAAACTGTAACTAAACCCTCTTCCTACCTACCGATTGCTTCTCTTTTACCTGGCCTCAGCCCCCAATATGGGAAGTGTTACCTTTCAGGGCAACACCTCCTCAACACCACAAACAACAGAGCCACTGACAATGCTGGCTAGAGAACTTAGGTGGCAACCTCACTTCTTGAACCAATAGAAACTCACTATGCTGAATATTCATCAGGGAAAAGAAGCCCCAGAGAGAGGGGGGAAATTACAGGTGGGAGCATTTAGCTCTACAACCCATTTTCATTACAAACCAAAGTTTGTTCCTTTATTTACAAGATAGCAAAGAGGGACCTCAATTTAAAGAGAAAGGTCTGATAATTCTTCATCAATCATGGCTTCTATTAAAGATGCTAGAACATCAACAGTTGTTATATTTAAAATCACAAATCCCTGGGCAACTGGTATATTCATACCATGCATGTAGTACTTTAGATATTATGACAGTGATATGGTGAAACCCTACTCTAGATCATGCAGGATTCTGTTGGAACAGCCACCTGCTTATTGCATCTTTGAGATGTTTGGATGGGAGGGACTCTGGGGGGAATGTCAATCACTTAGATTGGCAAATTATTTCCCTCCCCACCTCAGATTCCTTTTCCCACCTTTTTAAACCTCTGTTCTGTGTTTCCTTACCGGGCAGTTATCCTTTGATTGTATTCCTGCACTAAACATGGGTTTGGACTCCATGGCCTTATAGGCCCTTTCCAACTTCATGATTCTATAATTCTAATTAGAGACAAGTTAGTAATGACAATGTTCTGTAAGTTAGAGGCTGAGTGAAGTATTTATGTAACCAGTCAGTTAGTGAAGCAAATAATGAAATTAACCAGTTAAGATCTTATACTGTGGTACAGGGTATAGGCTTCAGCTCCTACCATACAAATAAAGAAGTTTGCTCTTTGCAAAATTTCCTCTCCATAGAAACGAAATCAGGCAGCGGAAGAAAAACATCAGTAAAATTTTCAGATCAATTTCAAAGATCTACACCTTTGAGCCTCAAGTCAGTGTGGAATCAGTCCTGAGAGCCCTAGTTTTCTTGCACAGATCATTTGTTTATCATGGTACAGCAGTTCCAGATCCACAAATTAAGGTTTGGTGCTTTTTTTCATTCTGGATTCATTGGCTTAGCTGCACAGCCCCAGGGTGACCCCAAAATAATGGAACAGTAAAACAACGCAACGCTGGGAAAGGGTTACTATAAGTCAGACTTGACAGAAAGTAATTATTATTAAATGGTTCAGGAATTGTCTCCGAAGTGAAACTTTGATCAAAATTACTCCAGCACATTTCAAGGTGGCTAGTGTGTGTATAGGCCTTTTTGCAGGCCCACAATCTTGTCTTCCCTGTTTAAATTCTACATAGGTATAGGCCTTTTTGCAGGCCCACAATCTTTAATGTCTTCCCTGTTTAAATTCTAAATATTCATACAAATGCATTATGACAATATTCACATACTGCAAAAATATACATGGGACCTGCAACAAAATGTTGCAGCATTGCTCATATCTTTGCAAGAGAGCTCCTATTCAGAGCTGACACACCAGGAGCTAAAACAGAGGCTTGCCTCCACTACTACCACCCTCCTATGAGTCAAACATAAATGTTGCAATTAACACTTGTGGTTGCTATGCCTCAGAAATAAGCATCCCTAAGCTTCCAGCTCTACCAATTAAAGGTCTGTCCACATAACTAAAGCTTCCTTGGCTGGGTCTATCAAACAAACCACTGCTGTTGTGAAACTGTGCTTTTAGTAGATTGATAAAATAGCTTCTAAAAACAGTCATCCAGCCTGAAATTCAAATATTCCTGAAATAAAATTCCTTATTTTAAATGTTATCAATGTGCAACTATATTTTATTAGTTCCTTTTTCTCCTCCAAGGCAGCCGGAGGAGAGAAAATGGATGTTTTCATTTCTGTTCTCAGTTGAACAAAATACGGCATTACATAATCCTAAACTCTAGTTAATCTTAAAATTAGTTTGTTGAAACAAGCCAGTTATAATATATCATATTTTGTAGATGGCTTATTTCAAATGTCTTATGAATAAAGTTTGGCACATCTGGAGGAAAGGGCAAGCTATCGAAAAATAAAAATAGAATTTAAAAAATACTTCATCTCCCTTTGATTGTCCTAGTGGTGGAATAAGCTAGCCTGAGGTTCAGAGTGACATGTCCTTAATCACAATAAAGCACAGTTTACTGTGCCATCTAAACCAGTGTCTTGGTCTGACCTGGCTGAAGTGCACATAATGCTGTTATCAGAGAGGACTGGCACATGAAAGCAAAATGAACATAAAAGAACATAGCCAGTTCTTTCTCACAGGGTAGACTGACTGGAACTGTGATTATGTATGAACTTTACCCCATCAGTAAAATTCTATTAGTATTGTGAAGTCGTCTCTGATCAAATTTATTACTGACAAAGCACATCCAGCAAATTCAGTGGAGCAGGAGCTGAATTACAGCAACAGAATAGTATAACTGAAGGGGGCTGAAGCTAGAATGCTTGGTTGGTTGGTTGGTGATGTGCCAATATCTGCAATGTGGGCATGCCACTCTTTCATGCCACCTTACAACTTCATGACTTATACAACCTTTTAACAATAAGTGCACCTTACTTTCTCTGTATTAATCAATAGTGTATTTCTTACATTAAACTAAAGCAAGTATTCTGTTTTCCTGCTAGAATGTTTTCTACCACTACTTTACAGAATTGATAACGTTATTAGCTATGCTAACTTTTAATTTTTTTTTAACTTTTCTGCACATTTCCTCATCGGGGTAAGAAGTATATCTAGTTTGGAGCAGAAGGTTTTCAGATGCTTTGTGACAGATAAGTGACCTCAAGAAAGGCTGTATCTATTATTTTTGTTCATTAGCAATGACATCAGGGTTTTAAACGCACAGACCACAAGTTGTTTATGACTAGCATCTTATATTACATTGCTACCTGGCTATTTAAAGCATAACTAATCCTACCCATCTGTTTGAATGGCAGCATTATTAGCTGCCTTACTCTATTATCAGAGGCGACTGTTTTAATAAAAGGTGGGGGAGAGAGTCTGATATAATGTTTAGTAATATATTACTAAGACATTCACAGACTACTGTGAACATCATAGTAATATATTATCAACAACAACTGGGATTCTGAAAACTATAGTTTAGAGGAAATACCATCTACTATTGTTTTAAGTACCACTTGAGGAGACGGGAATAACCTAGACTTCTCTAGAGGAAATACAATGTATGCGCCACTTTGTAATTTTTTACTGATTGTTATTTTAGACGCTCTGAGCACAAGAAACAGAAGACTGCGGGAGGCGACAATCCTGGGAACAACTGCATGGTTATTAGCCTCAAACAAACTTATTTCCATGTAAGCCTGCAGGCTGAATTATTTCTGTGAGTGGAGGGTGTCTTTTTGAACACCCAGCTGTATATTATTATTTGGTACATGTTTTCCTCCAGGCTGGAATACGTGGTGTTTGAATGTTAACAAGAAAGCGCTTCTCGGTGGCAGTACAGAGCAATATTGAGGGGGGTGTGCATACACGTATATTTGTGTGTGCGATGTGGGTGTGTAGGTGTGTTTCAGGAGTCCCAACAAAGGTACTGTAACTAGATAATGCATAGGAAAAGCTGACATTGTCAATCTGAACATGATAAATGCTGTGGGATACCATAGGATGATAGCCAGCTGTCGTTACAGCTGTTAGTGAGCTGTATCCCAAACTTACAAGTAATAATTAATTCCACAAAGCTAAACTTGTTGACCCAGGAGCACTTTCTACTGTGTTCATTGAGGCTTAATTCCTTCTAAGTATATCTAGTCTAGGACTCTGGCCTTAAACAACGATGACCAGACTACGAAATATCTGTCAATATGTTGTGGGTTATAATAAGAAGCACTGTGACAGTCTAAATATTTGAATAATAATCTTAGAACTGCAGAGTTGGAAGTGATGCTATATAGATTATTTAATCCAGCCCCTTTCAAGGAGGCACTGAGGGGAATCGCGGACCCAACCTGCAGCTCTGGAGCCAGAACTAAGGCTGCCTGTTTACATACAACTCTCAGAATCCCCTAAAGTTTTGACTACAAAACTTTTTCAAGCAATGCCTATGATATTAAAGGGTTGTTGTTGTTCAGCCATTAAGTCGTGTCCGACTCTTCGAGACCCCCATGGACCAGAGCACGCCAGGCCCTCCTGTCTTCCACCGCCTCCCAGAGTTGGGTCAAATTCATGTTGGTAGCATTGGTGACACTGTCCAGCCATCTCGTCCTCTGTCATCCCCTTCTCCTCTTGCCTTCACACTTTCCCAACATCAGGGTCTTTTCTAGGGAGTCCTCTCTTCTCATGAGATGGCCAAAGTATTGGACCCTCAGCTTCAGGATCTATCCTTCCAGTGAGCACTCAGGGTTGATTTATAGGGTTACAAGATTTAATTGATCAGTGTTGGTTGATCCTAGCAGCTCCAGTAGCAAGTATCCCTGCTAACCACACCAAGAAAACCTCTGAGGGCTACAACTTTGGAAAACCTTTTCCAGACAGTGTTATATCCTTCCAGTGAGCACTCAGGGTTGACTTATAGGGTTACAAGAAAACCACACCAAGAAAACCTCTTAGGGCTACAACTTTGGAAAACCCTTTCCAGACAGTGTTATGAACAATGCTACCTACTACAATCTCATGAGAAGAGAAGACTCCCTGGAAAAGACGCTGATGTTAGGAAAGTGTGAAGGCAAGAGGAGAAGGGGACGACAGAGGATGAGATGGTTGGAGAGGGTCATCGAAGCGACCAACATGAATTTAACCCAACTCCGGGAGGCAGCGGAAGACAGGAGGGCCTGGCGTGCTCTGGTCCATGGGGGCATGAAGAGTCAGACATGACTAAACAACTAAACAACAACAACCTACTACAAGCACGGAGTGAGTTCAAAAAAGGCAGTTTCAGGTAGTATTGGAAGGTGATGTACTTGTGTAGTGGGGCAGGGGAAATCAGAGATGGAAATTTTTAACCATTAGGTCTAAGTTAAGGCTATGTGGATTCCTCCTGTGCAATTTAGGGCTCAGTGTCTCCAGTCAGAAAGATATACCATAAAGGAACAATGACACACATAGAGTCCTTTGATAGTTTCATTCACAAAACCAGCCATCTCAAACCTTGTGCTCCTGAAACTTTCTCAGCAAGAAGTTGCTTACAGTCTGATCTAAACAGCGGAAAAACGGTACCATATTCAAACTATACGGGGCACATAGGACATTTTAGGACAGCGCCCTCAGGTAGCATGAATTTTTAAAGTTTTAAAGGTGGGTTGTGTGATTTAAAACTGGGGTAGAAATACAGAGTGGGGCTTGTGGCTGTAGTTTAGGACTCAATAAAAACCCCATGTTCCATCACACACACAATCAACCACTCACTGTACAGTACAATGTCGGTCTACTTGGAAGTAAGCCTCAATTGGATTCCTAGGGAACTTGCTTTTAGGTAAGAAGTGCAGAAGCAAAGTCTGAATTCACATGCACAAAATCAGGGTCTAGTAACCTGACAAGTGCACACCTTTAAAATAAAAGGAGGGGTGGGATAAGGTGTAAGACGATCAAAATTATGAGGGGGAAACAACCCCTCCTACCTTATATAGCTCAAATAAGGTGAGTAGAACTGGGATAAGCCCTCTTTGAAGCCGGCCAGCTGTTGCGGACTGTGAAAGGCCATGGGCTGGTAGAGAGGCTGAGAGGCCACCGCGTTGGACGTTGAGGGCAAGCTGAGACTGTCCCTCTGTACTATGCAACTGGTTGAGGCTTTGCAAGGCGCTAGTCCGTAAGAGAGGGCAGCGGAACCTCCAGGCGCAGGAGCAGCCACCCCAGCCGCTTCTCCCTTGTACAGGATGCACTCCAGAGAGGAGGAGGAGGAGGAAGCCTCGGTGCTCATGTCAGTTTTGGCCTGTCCGGCGTTAGCAGCACCTTGGGCGGCGTAATCGGCGCCGGGAAGCGCTCCGGCCGCACCTCCCGTCGAGGTTTTCGCCGCCGCCGCCGCCAGGAGGGTCTCTTCCTTGATCTTGAAGTTCGGCGGGAAGTCTCCGCCGGCGGCCGGGAAGAGGTACGCCGCCTGCGGCCCTTCTTTGGGGGAATAGGCGTAAGCGGCGAAATCGTGGAGGGCGCCGGCCGGCGACTCCTCCACGTCCAACAGCTGCCGCGTCCGGGCGGCGAAGTAAGCCGAGTTGAGGGGC